TTCGGAGCGAAGATTTCGGACTGAAGGTTAAAAATGTATAATTTTGAGGAAAATAATGGAATTAATACGTACAAAAAAAGGTACTAACGAATCTCTTTTATAGCGTATCAAATTTCTTTTCCCAGAAGTGCTTTTCAATTTCGTCCCGACGTTGAGAGATTTTTCGTATTTTCCCGCCTTAGGAGTCAATGCACCGTCACGAACCAGGGATGAGTTTTATGGAGCGCGTAGGGACGTTAAGACGTGCAGCGTACGTAGTCCCATATATATCTATACATACATACACTAGATGCATATAGTTTATCTAACCTAGGTTCTTCTGCGGTGGCCATAAAGAAGTAACGCGAATGTTAGCACGACATAACCAACCAGGTTGCTCCTGGAAGAGGTTCCACACCTCACCGGGTACAATACGTTTTACGTGCTGGTTGTCCTACCTACTGCCGTTTCGTGTCTCGCAAGAACTTCCCTTAATGAGCTTTATTTTTGCCGCAAGGCGTACCGGAGCCAAGATGACGTATAGTATGTGGCTTAGAACCTTGGTTGGAGCTAAGCTCTTTCTTAGTTGTGCTTTTTATAGATGATTTTGGTTAGGTTATTTTAATAGACGTATAGCACGTGTCACTATATATTTGCAGGGTCTAGAATTCCTAAGTAATACTACAGTGCAGCAATACGTTTGGCAACTTGGTGGATTTCGATTCGAAGCGTTTATCTTGAAAATCCTCTAGTCGACCGATCCTCCATGGGATTGACTATCTCCATTTTCATTGGAGATGAAGTCTCTACGCTTCGCGCTCTCAGACCTGGGTTGCTGTTACTGACAGTTGGAAAGTTAAGTTTAATCAAGTACTTTCGAGGGGCGCTCTACTGCTTCCGGTAAAGCCGAAGTCGTTGGCGTCCATAGTGCTGGGGTTGGTATGGGTGCTAGTTCTTCGAGGTGCGATCACCCTTATAGGTTTTTCATTTTTTTTTTTTTTTTCGTTTTACCGAAGGAACTTTAATGTGCTTGGGAATAGATTTTATGCTTACAATTTTTTTATCCAATTTTTCTGGGATGGCCGTCCAGGCACGCACTGTGACTACTGGCAGGTACCTTGGTCGTTTATGTCTTTCTTTCAACCCTTATACGTGTCTCGTGAGCATTTCCTCTAGGATGTTGAGTGTAGCAGGGGTTTATGTGCTTCCTGCAGGTATGGCGTATAGTGCACACTATATGGCAAAGGGCTGATGTAATTTCCAGGGGTGGAGTTTCAGGGTGCCTAGGTCAGCCGGAAATGCAGGTCGGATAATTTAGGTGGATTGCCTCGTAAAAGCGGAGTTGGTACCGTGGCCAATTAACGGCAGTGGTTTGTTGCCTACCTGCTTGATTGAACTGCTGAACCGGAACTGGAGAAGCCCGCGATACCTACTTTTAGTGCGCTCGCAGCTCAGCTCCTTGCAGATGTCGTAAAGTGTCGAGAGGAAGTCTTTGGGATCGTCTCTGCTTCTTTATTTCCTCTATACTTTATTCTGTTTTTTTTTTCTTATTTTTTTTTTATTTGAAACTCTGGCGTTTTACCTTGGCCAACTTTTCGAACCTTTTCACAGAATTCTTTTTCACTCTAACCATAGCGCTACTGCAGGGGCTATTACTTCAATAAATTGAATACTCTATGGACTTGTGGATGTTTCGGGGTCGGACTTTGAAAAAATTTCAGTTCACGGGCTGGTTTGCTAAATGGTCACAAAATATAAAGCATCGAGCAATCGGCCGATTTCAAGACACCCTGAATTTCTTATTTTGGGGTACGTCAAATTATTGTCAGCACGTTCAGTCGTAAGGGCAGTTTGAGGATCATTCTCAAAATATGCACGAAACTATGAAATATAGATAAAAAATATATTAAAAATATATAAAATATATATACATGGTATACTGAAATTGTCTCCGAAACAGCCCAACGCCAAATATACGTATATTGACTTACGATCCAGTCACGTGGTACATTCATAGATGAATTTTCGTGAAATTAAGAAGTCCCGTAAATTCATGCGGCAGGATGCACACTGCCCACCAGAGTGTACCAGACTGTCTTGATATTTCATATATTATCTGGCCAGGATTCAGAGCGGGCAAAGATACTCCTTTACATAGATTTAATATCGACGGCGTGTCATAATACGATAACCGAGCAGATGGAGATTGAGGATGAGAAATCTAGTGGGAAGAATTGGATACAGTAGTCGTGATGAGCGATGGGCACGAGTCGTCCGTAGATTCGAAATTTCCATTTTTTCCCGCCATTTGTATAGAATTTAAACAAAAATACAAAATTTTTCTTCAAATACGTCCAAACGAGATGAGTATCACGTGGCTCGTTCTACGAGGAAGAAAATTCACGCGACTATGTATCAGCAAAGAATATTTTTTCTCCCTGGAACAACATTCTCACGTATACCGTTCAGATCCATCGCTTCCGGCACAGGCATGCAGACAAGCTGTAAGGGATAGCGTGCGACAACGATATTGAAAATATCTCGCTGAATTGAAAATCTATACCAGCCTGGCCATTCTAGAGCGATTCACATATGTCGCGCTATTGGAAATGGATTCCTCCTCTCTTTACGCTCGTCTTATGTCTAATAACTAACTTCTCCATAATGCATGAGGTAAAAATGCTGAACTTTTCCTCGTGGGCTTACCCTTAGTCCTCCATTTTTTTCACTTCGATTTCACTCTCTCGCCATCCCTGTCTCTTCCCTGCCTTCCCCATTCTCGATCTTCCTTTCGCACGGTCCCCTCTCGCTTTTCCTTTATTTCCAGTACTCAAGTGGAATTACGCAAAGGCGTCGCATTTACATGTAAACGTCATGGTTGGTTTTCCAAAGGGGAAAAAAAAGTTCACAGATTGAAATTCGAAAAAAAAAATAAAGTCGAACAAAGTAGCAAAAGGTCAAGCTTATCCAAATGACATCGGAAGAGCATTGTGACCCCAAGTTATACCCTTGCTGCGATCGTTCGACACCGTGCAACGTGTATCGCCGGCTAATCGTAATATATGTAATTGCGCTGGTCAGCAATTAGATAAGCGCCTTACGTTAATGCGCTTACAGTACGTCGTCTCCCCACAGTCGACTGGTTCTGGTCAGTGTAATTATTATAGTGGGTTTGTCGAACAGGTGGCTGTGCGGGAACTGCCCGGGGCTGGGAACCCACCCCTAAAACCGAAGCGACCCCCTGAAGAAACGTGGAAGCCCCGGGAAGGCTTTAACCCACGTTTACAGGCGCCCAAGTCCCCAGTCTGTATGTTACAATAGGGTATATTCCGTTCTGAAAATCTTGATGAGCTACGTGTATTATCAGCAATAAGAAAAGCCTATTGGAACCCTTAAATTTCAATGTCATCCTATACCCAGCCATATCGAGATAATCAGGAGCACTGCCCAGTCTGGTAAGTTTTACCGCAATGCGACGATTGAATAATTAAGCCAATGTTGCTGCTAGCAATGCGTTTCCATCGGACCCGCTGCAGTTATTGCCAACCCTTATACACCGAGAAAGCATTTCTCTTAAGGTAGTCGAACTAGCCCGGGGGTTTGCGCCACTGGAAGTCCGTGCAAGGAATCGTAATATCTCGGGGCGGTTTTATACGCGTCATAAGAATCCCACAGCGCTTGTATATATGTATGCTGCTGACTCATACAAAAATATTAATTCGATAGTTAATTATGTTAATTAACATTTTATGACTCAATATTCAAAATAGCCTGTATTCTCGTGGGTATAATTTTTGGGCTGGAGATTAACAGAATGGAACGGGGTAGGTATCTCGTTACGGAAATTGATGCCCAACAGTCCGTATTTCACCCTCGTTAAACGGACATTTATCTACGCTGCTCAAGAAGCAAAATAGAAGTTTGACGTCAACCCTTAACGAGTGCATAACAAGGTATACGATTGGAGTAACTAAAGTTGGTATTGCCGAGTACCAACGTCTCTCCGAACCACGTGTACCAGCCATAACTTCTAACGCGATTATGCAGTCGCTGGGGACCAGACAGGAGACACGGAAGATGACGGAAACTAAATAGTGCTGGTCAGATCGCTCGGAGATGCGGTCCTGTAACGAGATGTGAACGCACCTTAATACCAAATCTTGTTTTGCCAAAGACGCTCAGCAGCGAACGGATAATCGAATTATCGATACTGCGATGTCCGATTTCAGTACTTCCGTCCGCGATGAAATTTCTGGAAACCGCAAGGTATCAATTAATCTCCTTCAGTCTCTTCGTAAGGGCTGGGAAAGTTCGATGGACCCCGTTGACCACCCTTGTATACATGGGAGGCCCTAACCATCCTTTAGGTGAATTTCCAAACTTTACCGTCGCTCTTGAGTTAGTCAAGCCAGTGAATTCTCGACGGCAGCCCCGACGTGAAACGTCCTCTTCTTCGAGTCTTGCGTATATATAGGTATACATTATACAGGTGTACGTACTTTACGTAGCTTGTACTCTGTTTGGCTTTATATTTACTATATTTACCTACGTATATACATGGGTATATATATCGGATGGGTCGAATCGATTCACGTCCGGTCGGTGTTACTTCCGGTAGCACGTCTCGATTCTAGCACCCTGTCACGTTCAGTCCTTTCCACGGGTTTCGCCGCGAGTTATATGGGCCAGCTGCGCGCTTGTGCGAATATCAAAAGGGTGGATGGATGAGTTATGAGGCGTATTACAATGCTGGTACTTAATTGGCGCACAGATAATGTGCCGGTTAAACGCATTGCCGGGCTGAGTTATAGTCTTGCATCCCCTGATAACCCTCTACCACCCCCTAGTTGTAGGTACTGTACCCATTCCCTGGTGCCTGTACCCTTAAAATTCTTCAATCCTTTTTATTAATCATTATCGATAACTATTGGATCGAGATAAAGTATTGGGTATAGAGAAAATTTTTAGAATTTTTTTTTTGTTACCAAGGGTAGGTTGGGGTGGATAAAAAAAATTATTACTTTTAATAAAAATCATTGTCATAATTTTTTATTTTTTTCTCTCCCTTTTTTTTTTCGTAAAAATTATTTTGGTCAGGCGACACTAATTAACCGTGGCTTATAGACTTATGCGGATGTTTAAGATAAATTGTACTTGATACAGTCTGATTAGGCTGGACTTTGAGGAATTTTAAGATGAAGGGATTCGTTGGATTTGATCAGGCGGTACGATATGAGGAAATATGCGAGTCTTAGTCGATTACGAATTAATGTTATTTTTGTCATAATGAAGATATGGTTCAGTCTCTATTGTCTCTTGGGTAATGATTTCTTTCACTGGTAAACGTTAATACGCACTTTTGTCTTTAATCACGTTATTTTCAATTTTTCCAAATGAATCAGTACACGGGATACGTCATCGGGCAGCATTTCTAATCGATTTTTATACAAGTCTAATTCCTTGATATTAGCTATGCCTGCGAACATCTCGGGCGTGAGGTCAGCGATCTTGTTGTAAGAGAGGCTGAGTTTCTCCAGAGACGAAAGATCTTGAAAACCATCCTCAGGAAGTGTCTCGAGATAGTTCCAACTGAGTTTGAGTTCCTTAAGATTCTTCAGATTGTCGAAGGCACCTGGCTCTATGGTAGCAATACAGTTGTTCGATAGATTCAAGGTGACTAATTTTGGCAACTTCGAGAACAATCCCTTTTCCAGGGTAGCGACGCCATTACGACAGAGTTCGAGCTCCTCCAAGTTATCTAACCCCTGAAAGATCTCAGGTGTCAGGACATCCGATAGTCGATTCCAGGAGAGATTGAGGTGGGTAAGTGTTGGTATTTTCGAGAATACACCGTCGGACAGGTACGATATTTGATTACGACTTAAATTCAATTCCCTTAGACTCGTCAAACCCTCGAAAGCCGTTTGATCGATATCCGTGATGTCGTTATATGGTAATACAAGTCGTTTGAGGTTGGTCAGATGACGAAAGAGACCACCGGATATAGCGGTCAAGAGGTTCCTGTTCAGCTCCAACACTTCGAGACTCTCCAATCCGCAAAATGCATTTGACGATATGGTGTACAGTTTTCCCCACGAGAGCGTGAGCTTCTTTAAATTACATAAATCAATAAAAATATCGTCGCGCAGTTCCGTGATACTGATAAGATGAAGATCGAGTTCGAGAAGCTGATCGAGAGCGCGAAAGTTATTTTTATTGATCTCAGAAATAACGTTGCAAGACAATATAAGCGTCTCCAATGACCTAAGATCAGCGAATACGTAATCGGGAAGCGCAGGGATGCTGTTGTGACTTAGGTCCAGATGTTTGAGAAAGTGCAAACCCGCGAACGCGTCATTGGCTATACTCGATATATCATTGTAAGACAAGTTCAGTGTGTAGAGATAAGTAAGATCAGCAAAGATCCGACTTCCCAATTCCTCGAGACAATTTTTCGTCAGTCTTATCTCCTGAAGATTTGGCAGAGACTCAAAGGACTCCCTGCTGATGCTGGCTATCTCGTTCCTGGACAGGAGCAAGGTATTCGCGCTACGAGCATTTCCAAAGTCTGGCACTTCCTTGAGACGGTTATCACGTAGGTCGATGCAGCCCAAGTCACTCGGTGCCTTTTCAAAAACGCACTTCGATATCGAGGTTATCCTTTTATTTTGTAAACGTAAATCGCACAGTCCCTGCCACGTGACCCGGAGCAACTTGCCGTCCTGAATATCGACATCTGGTGTGTCGTTCGCCATCGCAGTGATAACTGACGATTCAGACCTGCCGCGCTATTATCTTCTTTTATCAACGACTTACGTTACACGTATGGCCTTATCGGGCAACGCCGATTCGCGATATGCACACACCACGCGCAAATTGCACTTGACACACGAGTCTGCCCAACGCGTATTTATCTGCGTACGAACGGCTGACTTTTGACTTTGTAAAACATGACTCTCGCTGCAGGAATAACCGCGCCTTTACGCACGCGTTGTTAGCTGAGTTAAAACTAGGTCGCGAGTGATGCGCCTAACCTGGGTATATTAGGAGGAACGTGTGGATTGGTTGCTGATTAGGAATTGAAGACTGGAAAGTTTTCAGGCCGCGAGTTGCGGGTTACGTTTGTTTTTCTTTTTTCCGTAACGTGGCGCCATCTGTTGGCTCTAATTGGAACTACTTATTATCGTATCTATACTGCACCGAAGAAATTCATAAAGATTGCACGATTAATTAATCAATTATTAGCATTATAGCGATAAGGGCCATCAGAATAATTTCTAATTAGTACACTATAATATACTTAATGCGTTTCACTGATACGATTCATTTGTAACCGTTATGATAATTATTGAAATGACGCTCGTCGTAATCGTTCGAATATTTTTTTTTCATAAATTTTATAACGGAATTAGTCGTAATAAAAATGGTGAATACAAAGAATGACGTATCGTGAGTAGGATTATGCAGATCGCGATACCAATCGTAATGCCGGGAAAGTTTAAACGATATTTTCGAAGTTTCGCGATCAACCAAGCTTCGCAATGGGGTTTTCGACATGCGACATTTCCCGGGTCAGTCGGGTCACGATCGTTGATTCCGTTTTACCCGCGCATGCCGTAATCTTGCCGCAAACGCGTATTTAAATGAACAAATAAATGCAAAATCGATACAAGATTATTGTTTGCCAGTAAATAATTCCTTGGCTGTATAAAGCTTTTCAAGCCTCCGACCGAACCCCGAACTTCTCCACGTTTCAATAATCAAAATTATTCATAACGCTCTGTCTCAGACACAACCCCTCGAAATCATCCCCTTTTCTAAAGAAACTACAAATTTATTCGCCATGGCCGATTTTCAATCTCGATTTCCACTCGAAAATTCGCCGACATCGAAACCCGCCTTTTTTTCGTAATATTGGACGTTACTAATTAAAGCAATTCCTGGAGCAAGTAAGCAAATAAGCAAGATGCTCCAAGGGGTTGGTATTATAGGGGGTGGGATACCCAAGCCCAAAGGTGGTTGGGTTTATGTATGTTCCGAGCAATTCAGGCTTTATGACTTTACGTGTAGTTAGTTCGTACGGG